TTCGTATATGTGGACAGAATATATCTTTTACAATATTAAGACTTATGTTCACCGACTACACATATTATTATCATATTAAGCGCTAAATTAATTAATTAACAAAACGTGCCGATAATCATTTACAAACAAAAAATCATAACTTCGCAACTCTTTAAAGCACACTTTTCACTTTCATTCAGTCAGATATTCAGTCGCGCGTTTAATGATCTCATCATTGCGATTATTACGGACGGTGTGTGTGCAAGTAAATGAATGTATGTCAGACATTCAGCCAGTCAGATGAGTCTGATCGATATCTCTAGGCGAGGAGATGTAGTCGGTTGCAATGTAACTACATATTTAGAAAATTGGAGATAATCATACTGGTTGTAAATTTTTCAGCATGTAGGGATATGTGGATGGTGACTAGAAATTATCTCTAATAGTTTTTTGGATTATACAAAAGATCATGTGCACATGATCATCATCGTTAAAGAGACTATGAGGTTTAGTTCCGTCTAGATCCTTATGACACTTGATATAGGCAATAGACGTCATTTGAAAAACAACACCAGTTTTAATTTACATAATTTTTGGCGAGAAACATTTTTTGGAAGTAAGTAATTCAAGGCATGCCTCAAGGACGGTACACATCCGGTAAATTTCAAGCTTCAAATCATTCTCAGACCCCTATTCTCAAACTTAGAAATGAGAAAGAGAAGAGAGCAAGGTAAACAATTCTGTGGACAATTGTTTTACTTCTTGTTTGTTGGTTATTAAAAATCACACGCGATTCTCTTTCGCTTCATTCTTTTATTGTAGATTAATGTAATAATGGTACGAAAAAAAAATATGATTTACAAATTTTTTTACATTCATTGTTCTCAGTTGACGATGCAACTGCTTTTGTGCTGGATTGTTTTTATGTTTTAAAAAAATATGGAAAAGAAACAATCTCATAATTTTGTAATTAACTTCATGTCTTTTAGACATGAAAAGGTTTACTTATTAGAATTACTTAATTTTTTATTCAGAAGCTCGATTTGGTAGGGATTAATTTAAAAGATGCTTACCAATCCCTAATTGCACTTCTGGATTGTAAGACGAGTAGTGAAAGCTATTGATCAAATTTAATTGAATTTAAATTTTAAAGTTCAGTCGCTAATGAAATTCAATATGCGACATTTTGCATAAAATTCTCGTAAGCAATCATACACGATTTTCTTTTTCAGAAATTTCGCAAAACTGCAACTCATTGAAAAGAAGAAGAGAAGCAAGCATTAGTAAGTTTGTTTATGAAATAATGGATTGCCAATTAATGCTAGTTTTTTTTTCGTGTGCAAAACTTTTGTTGCTGCCATTGAATCTCATTTTTAGACGAGCATAATGAATTTCATACCAAACAAAGCATAATTCAAGGACAAACTAGTTGAATCTTTCGGAAATTTTAAACGAAATATTTTTAAACAGTAGCACTTGCTCTTGACAGCTTCACGTAAAAGCATTATTAACATTTTCTATTGATTCCATTGTTTATGAATTTAATTATTTTAATTACTTCATCAGAAGTAGAAAGATCTCGGTCATGTAAGCATGAAATTCTTCAATTAATTTTAGCTTCACTTAAAAAATCGAGGGTGAAGCACAATAGGGCAAGCTCAAAGAGATTCACTTGCATGATTCAGTTATGCTGAGTTCATTTAAAATTCATATGCCCCTAGCCTGAATTTAATGAGTTGGGGTCACACATATCGAAAACTAGTGTATCGGGTAGAAACCCAATGCGGATATATTCACACCGTACCATCAAAAGTCTTATGGATAGACCAAGATTTGCTCAGCATAAGTTTGAAGGGTGGGTGTGAAGTACGGCAGAGACCCATATCGACACAGTTCAAAAGATATACCTAATTTATTTCATAATTATGTCAGCTACAAAAACACTTAGTTTGAATTTTGTCACCCTCGGGAACACTATGAACCAGTATAGCTGATTTTGGTCCAAATCTCGGCCATACTTCACACTTATTTGAACCACATTTTCTCGTTAATGTCAAAATATTATTAAAAAGTTATTAATCCTGAATTATGTCGCTATTTTTAAGTGTTTTAAGATAAAGAATTTGTTTTTTGGATTCCACAGTGAAGAATATGAACAAAATTCAGATCAGATTCAGAGGTAGTCGAAATTTTAGATTTCGTTTTTTTTAAGCTATGCAATACAAAAAGTAATATTGGTATGTGATTTATGTCAGAATTATGTCAATTCAAATAAAACATCCAAAAAATTTTTTTGACAAAAGTATACCATAGAAAATCAATTTTCAATTTTGGACTAGGGGCGACCCTAGTCAAAATCAATTTTGTCACTTTTTTCTTCGAGGGTTTATACAAATGGATTGAAACTTTGCATAAATATTCTAGTGCTTAAAAAAATACAAATAAAACATTCTAAAATTATTTTGAGCAACGAACCAAGTAGGAAATACATTTTCAATTTTGGACTAGGGGCGACCCTAGTCAAAATCAATTTTGTCACTTTTTTCTTCGAGGGTTTATCCAAATGGATTGAAACTTTGCATAAATTTTCAAGTGCTTAAAACAAATACAAATAAAACATTTTAAAATTTTTTTGAGCAAAGAACCAAGAAGGAAATACATTTTCAATTTTGGACTAGGGGCGACCCTAGTCAAAATCAATTTTGTCACTTTTTTCTTCGAGGGTTTATCCAAATGGATTGAAACTTTGCATAAATATTCTAGTGCTTATAACAAATACAAATAAAACATCTTAAAAATTTTTTTGAGCAAAGAACCAAGTAGGAAATACATTTTCAATTTTGGACTAGGGGCGACCCTAGTCAAAGTCAATTTTGTCACTTTTTTCTTCGAGGGTTTATTTAAATGGATTGAAACTTTGGATAAATATTCTAGTGCTTATAACAAATACAAATAAAACATCTTAAAAATTTTTTTGAGCAAAGAACCAAGTAGGAAATACATTTTCAATTTTGGACTAGAGGCGACCCTAGTCAAAATCAATTCGTCACTTTTTTCTTCGACGGTTTATCCAAATGGATTGAAACTTTGCATAAATATTCGAGTGCTTAAAACAAATACAAATAAAACATCCTAAAATTTTTTTGAGCAAAGAACCAAGTAGGAAATAGTGAATTCGTAAGAAAGGAAAGTTTTTTGCTTTTTCTGAAGCAACGGCTGTTTCTACCTTGCCCAAAAACAATACAGCTCTTCTATAGAGCAGCACGGATCAAATGTAAAAAACTAGAAGTCTCTACGATGTCTCGTTATTGAGATTTCTTGCTGATTAACTTGCTAGCTTGTTTGCTTACAGAAAACGTATTTTGCGATTTTCTCGGCAATGCCACAACCAATTTGAAATCTGTTTTTTGAAAATGATGTAAAATTTCAGGCACAAACTTTTCTTCTGTGACCTTTTATAACCAATTTTGCTTTGTTTTCTCACAAAATGCGAAAAACTGATTTTTCAATCTGAACAAAACCAATAGATTCACACGTGAAAACGGTGTGAATATAATAAAATTTAAGTTTAATGAGCTTATGTCGCATATGATTCTACTAGTATTAGCTTATGCTTAACATCAGACCATCCATAATTTGAAGAAACCACTTGATTTATTTTTAATACTCAGGTGTCAAAAAACCAAAAATTTATTAATAACTTAAAGCTTCTTAAAGCTTTTAATATTATGTACACTAAGCGGGAAGATTATGAAGCCCTTGAAAATTGATCAGAATGAAGCTTAATTGGTTCAAATTTTCACAAAGTAATAAAAAGCCATTTCCACATCGATCTAAGTCGAGGCTGTTGATGTAAAAAATAAAATAAGAGTGAAAATCATTTACACTTGAAATTATTTTCATTGGCTCAACGACTTGTATAAAAATAAAATCATAACAAAAGAGGTAATGAATTATAGTCAAATTATAAAATTCTTGCGTAATTTCATGTTTAATGCCTTGATGTGCAAAATTGTTTCATTATAAAATATGATTTCTAGTCTCCAAACGTGCGACTTAAAAAGTATATTTTTGGAAGATTTATTCACTCACGAATTAGCTTTTAAAAAACGAATTTGCGGCGAATATCAAGTTCTGTGAATGCTCACAAACTCACTTGAATAAATTGAATAATCTTAAATTGAGATTACAATAGCCAGCAATTTTGACAACTTTTCAATGATTTGTAGGTTTTTCTCTATCTCTCTCACTCACTCACTTAACAGCGATGATGATACATTTCGAATTTATACAGCATATAATTTTTATTACAAGCTTAATCCATAACGACACACCGTTGATATGTGTGCATATACATATAATATAATTCATTTGAAATTGTGATAATCATGTCAGGCATGCAACTTAGTATAACACATTCACACTATAAAATTCAAGCGGGTGACATCAAAGGCTGTAGAAATGTAAAAATTATTACTTTGCGACATATGTATGAGGAATTTATGATTAAATTGATTGAAATCATTTGATGCATTTTGATTGGATTTTAATCAATTTTCTTGTAATGTATTTGGAGTCTCAATTGTACATGACTTGCAAGTGAGATGCAGGGTTTTATGTAGATAAAGTCTGCTGTATGAGTTTTTAATGAGATAGTAGAATTTTGCTTGAGATCAAGACCTCTATGACTCACTACACCTAACAACAAGAATCTAAATCCTTGTTCACAATATTTATGTTACCATGCCATTATTCTCCAATTACACGAGTTGACTAATCGCAAAATTTACAATTCATTGAATTTCGATTAGCTGAAAGAGTATCTGAGTCACAAAATGAATAAATTTTCAAGCTATCTTCTTGCTTCTTGCATAAAAATTATGACTAATTTGAATATCTTAGCTTAGATATATCACAACTTGAAGAAGTAGCTTGAATTAAATTTTGCAATGCTTTTATGGATCTTTGACCTCGATGAATACTAATTGGAAATTTTTATTTCTATTTTCTCTATTTTTTAGGAACAATGATTCCACTTAGTGGTGGTGATTATGCTTATATTAAGCACGGTAAGTTCAATTGTATAACGTTTTACACTTCTATGAGCGCGAAATTTTTAATGATGCATGTACAATTGTGATGACCGTTTGTGATCTTTTGAATCTAATTTGATCTAATTTATATTAATTTGCAGCATTTGGACCACTCCCAGCATTTTTATACCTTTGGGTAGCACTTCTAATTCTTGTTCCAACAGGAAATGCCATAACTGCCTTAACATTTGCACAATATTTATTGAAACCAAATTGGCCTGCTTGTGATCCACCATACGGAGCTATAACACTTGTGGCATGTTTAGTAACATTCATTCTTACAGCAATCAATTGCTACAATGTAAAATGGGTGACAAGCGTCACTGATATTTTTACAGGCACAAAAGTATTTGCATTACTTGTAATTTTTGCTGCCGGTGCATGGCATTTGTTCCATGGACATACAGATTTGTTAAAAACGCCATTTGAAAATTCAACGACGTCGCCGGGACGTATTGCATTAGCTTTTTACAGTGGTCTATTCAGCTATTCAGGGTGGAATTATTTAAATTTTGTCACAGAGGAACTGAAGAATCCATATAAGTAAGTTAATTAGCCAACAACTAACGAGATAATTGGACGAGACTAATCTTCCTTCCAATATTCTTTAACGCAGAAATTTACCAAGAGCAATTTGCATCAGTATTCCAGCTGTAACAATAATATACGTAATCACAAATGTGGCATATTTCGCAGTTCTTTCCGTTAATGAAATTCAATCATCATTAGCTGTTGCTGTAACATTTGGTGATAAAATGCTTCCAGCATTTCTTACATGGACAATGCCATTTTTTGTTGCATGCTCAACATTTGGATCACTTAATGGTGCAATTTTTGCAAGTAGTCGATTATTCTTTGTCGGAGCTAGAAATGGACACTTACCAGCCGCTATTTCACTCATAAATGTTAAATGCCTTACACCGATTCCATCAATAATGTTCATGGTAAATTATTATTGACATTATGTTCAGACATATGCAGCAACTAACTTATGTTTTCATTATGTTACAGTGCCTCATAACAATATTTCTTATATTTATACCCGACGTTTATGCTCTCATTAATTATGTTAGCTTTGTGGAAGCTCTCTTCATTCTGATGTCAATTTCAGGCCTTTTATATCTACGCGTTAAGCAACCAAATGCAAAACGACCAATTAAAGTCAATTTAATATTCCCAATTATCTTCATGCTCACGTGCAGTTTTCTTGTTATTGCATCAATCTTCCAAAGTCCTGTGGAAGTTGGTGTTGGAGTTTTAGTAATTTTATCAGGTAAGATATGTTTAAGACTACTTTGTGGGAGCTTACAGCTCTATTTGACAGGATACTTGCTAATATCCCTTAAATTTTGAATTCCATAACTAAGCTCATTCTCCCATGAAATTAAAGACAATCAAGTCAACTTTAATGTGACCATGTGAATGTCAGAATTGAGGCAATGTCTTAATGCCACAATATAAATGACTTGCGGTCACTAGTGCAAATCAAAAGCTAAAGTTTGCACACAAAGCAGTTATTTAGACTCTAATTTAAATTACAAAATACACAAACTAATGTTATGATTTATGTTTGTAGGTATTCCCGTGTATTATGTAACAATTCATCGACCTATGGGATGGCTTACACGACTCTCGATGCGATTTAATGTATTCTGCTCTAAATTATTTTTCTGTATACCAAATCAGGAAAAGGAAGATTAATAGTCAATTGTCCAAAATATCAAAGATATTTTTTTTTGTACTGTTCACAGTCACACAACATAGAACTTTTTTTATGTTGAGACATCAAATAGAGAAAAAAAAAGATTAAAATCTTAAGCTTACAAAGTATGTATACAAATCTTCATTAAAAACATAATTTTATTTAAATATATTGGGAACCTGTAGCTAGATATTTGAAAAATTTTGCATAACAATTATGCTTTTAAAAATCATTTTTGCTTTCGCTTTAAGCGTGTTTTTCTACTTCTATAATAAAGTTTACAATAGAATACTAAGAGTGATATGGAAAATTTTATAAGAATGTTGCTGCAAGCATATAAGAAACTTTAAAGTTGATAATAATGAAAATAGTGATTCAATAATCTCATAAAGCTCAGAATTGAATGCTCTCATGAAATGATTCTCAAGGAAATGTCTATCTTGGAATTCATGAATTGATATTTTAAGTTTTCCATAAATAACGATAGTGAATGAGTTAAGTTTGCTGCTAGGTACTGATTCACTTGGAAAATAATACAGCTGGTCCGACCCTGCATCACATTGAATTTTGAAAGAGACCCCCTTGAATATAATGCATAAGCTTCACAGCTGATGACATTAATGCTGCTCAAATAATTATTTCATAACCAGCACCATCACTTGTCGCGATGATCACTAATAATGCTTTAAATTCAATTTTTAACATTCAAAGCAACATGATCATGCATGACAAAATCCAAAAAAACGTGATCAGTAACTAGTTCAAGCTTTCAACTCAGTTAGAAAATAGCATCATTTAAGTTCATTGTAAAAAGACCACAGGATACTTATTAATTATGAAAAAAAGAAACATTTATTCTATTTCAAGTCAATTTTTAAATCCTCAAACTTGGATTGTGCCAAGATGAATTGAAAATTATGTTCCCTGCTACTGATTCAATTGTGTAAAAATCGAATTTAGTTATTTTTTGGTAAGTCTTTAAAATAAAATTATATGTAATCAATTAGTATATTCCTACATATCTGTTTATACTGTAACTCCTTTTACCTGTCAATTCAGAATTTTGTACAATTTATTTGTGTTTTTTATTGTTAATGAAATAAATAATTATAATATTAAATACTATAAGCAAGCAGATGGTCTTATCTTGTAGATTATTAAATTAGGTTTGATATCTAGGCGCGTAACCAGGGGGGGGGGGGGGGCAAATCCCACGACGTTTACAGAAATTTCTTCATTTTTCTAGGAGTTTTGTGAAAAAATCATAAAAATACCCCCCCCCCCCCTTCTCTCTGAATTTTCCATATAAAATTTTTTTGTCCCCCTCTTCAAATTCCTGGCTACGCCCTTGTTGACATCGAAAACTGTCTTTTGACCTTTAAAATTAATATTCAGATGATTTTGCCTGCTCAACTATTGACCATCAGTTCTTAATTTTCAAGCAAATTTGTTTCCAGATTGGCGATTTTAAGCACTTGAATGCCATGCTGGTGCGGCAGTAAAGTTTTGTTTTTTAAATTGTAGCTTATTACTTACAGCAATGCGGCAACAAATCTTAAATTGTCAGAAGAATGCAACTTCATAGAAACAATATCCGGCAATTACCTGAAACACAAAAAAATTCAGAAAAATAATATTCATTTAAATTTCAAAGCATTGTGCCTTTATTCCTTCATTAATTGATTGATTTATAATCAAAATTCAAACATTTCGCAATTTAATTTTTAAATTGGAATTCACTTTAGTATAATTGTGTTTATTAAAATTCTATGCACTTCCATGAGTCTACAGACAAATTTTGTTTATGAAAAATAAAAGAATAAGACTAATAAAATATGAAAAAAAAAAAAATTAAATGAGATAAAAAAAAGATTTTTGTCACACAAAAAAAAAGAAGTTAAAATAATTTTATGGTTTATATTTTGACCGTCTACAATTGATATAAGAAATTTACTCATCTTATGACTTAAACAAATGAGTTCAAGTTACTTGATTACATCAACCATTCATAAAGGATGAAATATGAAAATATGCATAGTAATGATTTTCATTTATTCAAGGTTTGTATCGTTTTCGTTTAGATTTTCAGTTTTTTAAGGAGTTGTTGGAGTTTTAAGAAGTAAAATTTGACATATAGAAATCATCAACTTGCTGCTTGGTATACCTAAGACTGTGTTTCAGTTCATTTCCAAGATTAGGATCAAATCTAGCAAAAACATTTGTTAATGGCTGCATAATTGCTTTGTTTTACTAAACACTAATAAGTAAAACTCTCAAATTTACTTCCAAAGCATCCAAACAACCCCATTAACAACCACTTAGTAAGATACTAAGAAGTTAAATTAAAATTAAAAATTTCAGCCGAACAAATTAAGCCGTTTGTCTTACAGATAGTAGGATAGTCTCTAAAAATATTTGAATTGTTTTTTTTTTTTATTACTCGTATATGACTGAAATAATTACGTTGTTTAAGCATTTTGCTATAATTTTAGCAGCTTTTAGTTTTTATCAAAAATAACAGGAAAAGATTTATTAGGAATAAGAAGTGATTTTTTTTTGTCATATGATTCTCATATGTTTACCTGCATTGATTCAATTCACAAATTTCTTTTCATTATTAACGCATTTTCCGCGCCAAATTCTTTTCACAATCAATTCTTCAAAAAAGTTTATTTAATGGCTATTTAAAAATATATTTAAATTTTCATCTTTAAACAATTTTTTTCAATGCGCGTCGAAAATTCAGATTAATTTGGTTTTGTAAAGCTTTAAATTTTGCGAAAATCAGCTCAAATCTATAACGGAGAAAGAGAAAAGATCGAAAGAAAAAATTTTGAATTAATTAAGCACAATTTTCTAAAAAAAAACTTAATTTTATTGTGGATTGAAAATTAAGAGTGGATAAAAATTGATCGTTCGGGTAAATTTTAAATGTTGAGTAAAAAGTGAATTTTGAAAATGTGTGGAATGAAGTTAGATTTTAAGGATAAGCTAAGTTTCTATTTCAGTGGGATCTTCCTTTTAAAATTGATATAAAGTTAACAGTTATGGCAAATAAATTTACATGGCACATTTAGATAAATAGCTGCGCTAATAGTTCAGACACTAGCAATCAGCAACTAACAGTTAAAGCTTCGAAGCACCTTTAAAAATTCTGATAGTCTACATCGCTTATCCCAAGATCCCTTAATTCTTATCCATGAGGTGTCGTTCATCTTTTTAAAAACTTAATTCCACAATTTCAATTCGCAATTAATGTCTAGCATGCAACATCTTAATTGCAACTTATCATACATACATCAAAATTATTCACATAAAGGATGTTTTATACAAATAAAATTATTGGGATATCTGAATATCGTGTGGGGTGTATCATGCCAAGGTAAAAATAAATCAGTATATAATTTCTATAATACATCACAATAAATTCAGCAATAAAATGTGTTTGTTCTATTCACACGATAAATTTTAAAAAAAGTATGCACTAAAAATAATAAATATATAGGAAAAAGTGTGTTCATTTATTGATCTGTGATAGACTAAAGTATAAAATGGATATGTAAAGAACCAAAAATTCGATTATAACCAACACCATGTGTGCATTAAATCTCGGCCAATTCTGTTGAATCGGCTGTGGTGCAGTCACTTTCATTTGCTCCTCATAAGTCTCTAATAAAACTTCACAATCATGCAACAATGACATATTCGTGCGTAAATATACATGTTCAATATTGTCAAACAAAAAATTATTTTCATCATCATGCGGACTTACATCATGCTCCTGATTATGTGATTGAGATGAAAATTTATGATGAACGACATTTGGATGATTTGAGGCAATCGGTTGGTAACGATTTGATGTGTTTGCTGGTGTCGGCTGTTGACTATATTGGTGTTGAAGTAGTGGGTTAATGGTGGTTTGTGGCGGTAATACTGGCAATGAGATATTTTCGGAGTTAAGAGAAGTACTTGGATATTCAGTTGGACGCAATGCTGCTCGTTTTGAAACAATTTCTAGCATTTCACTAAGAATGGCTCCTTCAGCAGCTACGTCTTGTGCTGATTTGTCAAGTTCTACAATGAGGAAAGAAGAAATGAATGTTAAGATTTATTTTGAGGATGACAGTTGGTTCAATTTGATAGGAAATGTGTCAGTTACAACATCCAGGATTAGGAAAATTTACAGTTAATTAAAAAACTTACTGCTGCACGATAATCTTATAGAAAGTTCCTCTTTAAGCTGTGCATGTCGATGTTCTAATTGCAATTCCTGTTGTCTTATTATCAATTCCTCATCTCTCTTCTTCATTTGAGTTATACTTCTCCAAATATCCAACAATTCCTTTAATAATTCCTCGTCAGTCGCTCCGACTTGTGAATGACTAGATTCGTTAAGCTGCTCCGTATTCTGACCTTCGCCACGTAAAAACTTTTCTATTTCAACGCCACGAGTTTCAAGATCTTTAATTTTTAAATCAATTTCATCTTGTTCTCGTTTGATTTCCTGTGCAATACGTAGTCTACAAAAATTGAGATTTTGAGGTTAGTTTTTAATAGAAAAATTAGATATTCATGCTGCATGCATAAAGTTAGATGTTTAAGCAGGGAAAGAAGGAGAAGCATTTTGTGTTTTATACCTTTTGAGTTCAGCTTGTTTTGAAGCTTTTGACATTGCACGCAATTTTTTCAATTCATTTTTAGTTCCATTCAGATCAGGAAATTCTTCATCTAGGAAAGGATTTTTTTTTAGCGATAATCAATGATTTTATGTACATCCAATGATTCAAAATATCCAGGACTTACCATCTGAACGTTGATAATTCTTTGGCAGTGGTGGAATTGGAGGAGCTTGATCGTCAATTTCAACAGCTGTCAAAACAGGTTGCTTTAATGATGCAACAGATCGACTACGTTCATTTGTGTATGGTGGCGTTGATTCCTTCTCCTTTTATTGAATAATTTATGGGAGGATTTTAAATAAAAATCATTTAAATTTTGATTTTTTGTTGATAAAATCACAAGATTCTTAAAGCTTAAGCACAACAAACCCACAAAAGTGAAATAAAGCTTATAATAATAAAATCACAAAATATATTCGTTGAACAGTAAATATAGCCAAACACCATGCCTTAAGATTCTATTTATATACAGATGCTTCTTAACTCTATGTACAGATGAAATAAGATTGACTCATAATATCAAAATCATATTGCAGCACACTCAAAATAATTTTCAGAATAACACACGTGATGTAAAATTAGATGTGAGTAAGAAATCAAAAAGGTATAATAATGAATTCATTTTTTCACTACAGCCATAAGCAATGCCTAAAAAAACAAAAAAGGAGGAAAAGTAAAAGTACAATACTAAGAGGAAGAAAATATTAAATTAAAAAAAATTATTTCAAAAGAAAAGAAGAAAGAACTTTTCATCATAAAAAGATTGAAGAAAACTCTGAATTTTAAGTAAAAGTTTACATTAATTAATTATTAGTCGGGTATTAATTCACTCCAACTCACTCAAAAGAAACTGCGAAGAGTAATGAATTAAGAACAGCTATGGGATTTATCTTAATGTTTTAACCAAGAGAATGAGCTATTTACATAGCAATGATATTGAATATTAAATGAGGGCTAATTGAATCTCGTATCTGTCAAATATTTTGAACGTAGAATAGAGATTTAATCCAGGAACCAGATAATAAGCTAGTCTTATCAATGAAAAATTCATATCCATTACTCGTTGTTAGCAATGCTTAGAGATATATTATAAAACCCTATGTAAATTTAGGAAAATAAACCATGATGTTAAAGGAAATTCAATTAATTCTAATTTGCTTATCGACGAGAAAGTTCAATCACAACATTATTTAAATTTATAGCTGTTGACATGATGGAAAATTGCGACGCATTCTTTTCAAAAATAGATTATTATGCAGAAAATGATTGTACTGCAATAAATAAATCTAGCTTAGTCGGAATCATGGTAATCAGAAGTGATTGAACCTTTTCATCGAATCCCTCAATTTAAAAATAGATAAAAAAATCACCATAGCACCAAAAAGATTTAAAAAAAATTATAAAGAAGATAAGAAAAAAAAATCGAAAACATCAAGACCGAAAAAAGTCACAAAAAGCTTATTTATATATCAGCTTACATTTATTCCCATTTTCCTTAAATCGCAGCACGACTGCAAAGTTGTTAAATAAAATAGAATAAAGAAAAATGGTGATGAAATAAATTTATACAGCAGAAAAAATGAGGATGTGCTATTTTATGTGAAATTTATCCTTCACCCAAAATAAGTAATGACAAAAAGGAAATCCTTCATACCTTTGCCTTATCCTTTGATGACTCTTTTGATTTTGGCGATAATTTAAATCTGCTAAAAACACTCATTGTTGATGATGAATTTTCGGATAACTTATCTTTACTCGCTGTAGATGGAGTTGATGTGAGATCTTTGTTGCTGGCACTTTGATCACGTTTCTTATGGAAGAAATCGGAAACAGTTTGGATGAGACTTCTACGTCTATCGCTATCACGTCGATGACTCTTGTTCGTTTTCGTTGACGTTGAAACGTCCTTCGTTGAATCCTTAATTGATGCGTCTGCTAAATTTGGATCAGACATACAGTCAGTGATAGGCTTTTGGAAAGTCGATGCTGGATAATCTTTAGATAATCGATTAATGAGACTTATGTCATTGAAACTTTTTGACACTGAAAGCTTCTTTTCGCGATATTTCATATCGTCTGACTGATTACGTCCATTGGCAAATATAGATGGCATGTTCTGTCCTCTAACATAATTGTCATTTTGCATTAAATTGTATTTCTTTCTGAGAATTAAAATCTTTTCTTCCGGACTTAGTCCTAAATCTTCATTTGACTTTAATTTTGCACGAGCTCTTGCATCCTCTCGCATTTTTTCAGCATTATTCATCAAGTCACTATATAGACGATTTCTGGGTGGTGGAGCAGGTGTTCTGAAATTTTCTGCGTCATCAACATTTCGCTCAATTGATCTATGTCTATAGTAATTGAACGATTGTGCCTTTGTGACTTTTGTTGGCGATGAATGTGCAGATTGAGATTTAAATGAATCAAATGCTGGATAATCATTATGCTTCCTTTCATTATAATTTATCACATGACTATTGCTATTATTTATCGGTTCCTTATTTGAAGTAATTTCTGTTAAAACATTTGTATCTTGTTGCTCTGCATTAGGCTGGTTCATGGACGACATAAAATTAGTTCTGTTTTTACTTCTATTTAATCTTTTCTCAGCATTAAGTTGTTTCTTTGCTTGCAATTTATTCATGACTAAATCATGGATTATATCTTTCTGCTTTGTGCGTTCCTTTGTTAATTCCTCGAGTTTTTTACTCAATGTTTGTGGTGCCTCGACCTGCATCAATGTACCGAAGATGCTCTTATTATCCAATGGCTTGTTTGAAAAATCATCAGGTAATTCAGTGCTGCCTAAAAGATCACTTTTTGAAAGTTTTCTTCGAGTTTTCTTCTCCAATGATTCTCTTCCGCTACTAATTTGTGCAATCTTCATTTGTAAACTTTTTACGTATTCCTCATATCCTCCCATTTCCTCAATATGTTCTCGACTCATCCGACTTGTACTTGAAGCTCGTTCAGCTGAGTTCCGTTCGAATCGAGCACGTTCATATTCCTCATATTTATCGGATGGTGTAGATGTGCTTGATATCACAGTACTTGAAATTGTTGTTGTATTATTTGTTGGAGTTGTTGGCTCCACCATATATTTAGGTAACGATTCTAATGGACTAGTAACTATGGTTAAATCTTCAGTTTCTGTAGTTGTAATTGTTGTTGTAGGCAAACTTTCTTGATTTTTATCATCTATGGCTATTAAGCTATCTTCATCTATATCATCACATGATGCATTCAGACTATCCAATAATTGACCACCATCATCCTCATTTACTGGAGTTTTTTGTTCATTAATATTACAATTATCATGATTATTGTTCAAAATATAGGCACCTTGTTCTATAAAGTCAACATTAACAATTTCCATATTGATTGCTTCAACTACAGGCGGCGGTGGAGATTTCTCTTTTGCCTTATTTTTATCATTTTCATAAGCATTATATCCACTACGGTTGATTGAACCGTTATATTGATGATCAACAAATTTTACATAACCGTGATTTTTAAGTACAACACGATTTGATGCTGAATGAGTCTCGATGGATTCAGCTTCTGATCCAGTATCCATGAAATCAATTTCCTCGATTGCAAGATTCTTTAAAATTCCACACTCAGAATCACCTTTATTTGTTTTCTTTGGCGATCTTGACTTTAATCTTTCTGACTCAGACTTTAAGCTTCTTAATTTTTTGTTTCGTTTCATGGTTCCTTTACCTGAATTTAAAACAAATTCAATATCCATGAAGTTTTCAGAAACGGCATCATCTGCTGCCCAGTCAGAAAGTTCAGTCTCTGTCAGACCTTGTCCAGTGATTTCATTTTCAGAATCAGATATATGAGCTAATGGTACAGCACCAGCTAATGGAGTCTTATCGCCATCTTCTGGAGTCTGAATCGGTGAGATTTTATCACTAAATCTCAATTGTACATGTGATTCATTTGGAATGTCTTCATGTGCAACAATAAGTGGAAGATGCTTGAGACTTTCCAGTTTGTTTTCATTTTTCGTATCAAATTTCAAAGGTTTTGTTGAGGATATGGATCCTTCAATTGATGAATTTTCAGCTCTTTCTGGCATCGTTGCTGTTGGTTGTTGATCCTCAAATAATGGCAAATCTTCAGGATCTCCAATGTATTGACCATCAACAATCATTAAGCTATCAATTTGCATCAATTCTCCAGATGAATCACGAACTTCTAGTCGAGGAGGTTGATTTTGGAAGTTTGCATTTTCATTTTGTGTCTCTGGACTTGTAGTTGAGTCTAGGATAAAATGTGGTATGTCTTCAAGACTTGAAGTTGAAGAGTTATTTGATAAACTGTCTGTATCAATGTCTTTTGCAGTATCGACTGGCTTAGTCCACATTTGAGGTACTTCAATTGTCGTTTCATGGGCGGGACTTCGAGGCCTTTCTATGCTTTCTTCATCTTTCGACGCACCATTAAGTTTGGTGGATATGTTACTAATTATATCTGGCACTGCACTTATAATATTGTTGTTATAAATTTGCTCTTTATTTGCCGTTCCATTGATGTGATTTTCTTTTGGTGGCGAATCGACCGTTAAGTCGATAAACATACTATCTAATTTACTTTTAATTTTCAAATTTGTCTCTTGAACTGACGTAGATTTCTCCATATTTTCAATAAACTGCTTATTGTCATCGATAGTATTTTGTGGTATTTCTACGTTATCTAAATCTACAATTGGTTGCTTCTTCTCTGGTGTCGTAAGGTCAATAGTTTCAATTATTTCAATTTCTGGTAATTTTGGCACTTCCGGTGACATTTCACGAATTTTCGTTTCAATCAATGTCGTGTTGACAGTTTCAATTGTCACTTCCTGTTTTTTGTTCAAGTCTAGTGGACAATTTTCCTTTTCCTCTTGATCATTACTATTATTATTGTTATTGTTGTTGTTATATTTGTCCTTTAATTCCTTGCTTATTCCAAATGAATGTTGGCTTTTGTTCAATTCATTGTTTCGGTCAATTCTCTGCAAGAATGTTTGCATCGATGGACTTATTTCGGTTGCTGGATTTAATTTTTTCTGACATTCCGAAATATTTGATGCAAAACTCTTAAATTTCATATCCAATGCTGATGCAGAATCTGATTTTAAAACAGCGTTACTTCCAGTATCTCCGCCAAGCAAATAACGCTTTTTCAATTCTAAGCTCTTCTTTGATGCAATTCCTTCAGTGCTTGCTGTTTTACTTAAAAGATAATTTCCTGGCAATGGATTCTTCAATGGCTCACGTCTTACAATCGAAGGATCAACTTCTACTAATGGCTTAAACTTCAAATGAACATTCTGGTCATGTTTTCCATTTGTTCTAGAATTTTCTGTATTCTTCATTGTTTCAGTTCTCGTCTGTTTCACATGAACACGTGCTGGATGTCTATGGCGAACATGTGAATCGTTAATAAAGATTTTTGGAGGTTCATGATTTATAGGATCTTGATCGAATTCCGAGTCTGTTGATATTTCAGTAGCTGAATTAAGCACTTCATCCGATTCCGTATCAGACTGAGCCTGAAAAAATTATCAAAAATTCAATTAGTATGGATTGAAAAAAAAAGCTTTTCTTGATGATCACAATAAGGCATTCCGAGTTTAATTCTCAGTAGATATTCAGTCATCAGAAGTTTAAGAGGTTCAAAAATATTTTTAGTTAAAAATTCATTAATTACAAATCAAACAGGAATGATGAGAGTATTCGGTTTTAAAGATGTAAGGCCATACAAAAATATTTTTTTTTTGTTAATATGAAAAATGAAATAGAAGCATAAAATGAATAAATTTTGAATAATTTCGCTTACTAAGAATAATAATTTAGCTAGTTCCAGAAAAAGTTTCTAAAAAGTCCTTATCTTTTCCCGGGTACGATCCGAAAAAAGGAGAAATTATAGATATGCAGTTATTAAAGTTGATAGCAGTATTAATATTTTCTTTAAATTGATTACACATGCTGTGAAAACATTGTTAGTTTCACAATAGTTTAATTATGTGGTGCCGAACATTAATAAAATTCATTTTAGCATAAAAAGCGGGTACGAAGCTGGTGATCAACAAAAACAAAAAACTTATTATTGTGGAACAAAAGTTTTTATTTTTCTGTCATGTTAAAAAAAACTCAACTTAATGACGAAAAAATTGCAACAACAACAAACAAGAGTTATCACACGATTAAAGCACTTTAAAGCGCCAATTTACCTTTTTCTCGTAATCGTACCCAACAATCGATTTTTTTTTATATTTAATTTATAGCTTTATGAATTATATTTTACTGTACTGATATGTATTTTTATTTGAAATGTGATTTTCGTCAGATAGGATAGGAATATCGATGTTGTCTTTTAAATGTTTGCTGTTGGTTGGTTGTATAAAATAATTTTGAGCTTTATAGCTATCGAAAAGGGAAGGAAAGTAAAAATGGATTTTAAAGGATATACTTGGGATTTTGGCATTAAAAGATATTGCAAACATCACGTGATGAAAGTCTTGAGCTCTTATTATTGTTACTAGATGCAGTATAACTTAGTGGTCTAGAAGTCGATCGACTATGTGATGATGTTATTGGATCTGAATAAGATGTGACAGCTCTATTTCTTGTCGAATATGAGCTACTGCCATAACTTGCTGGTGGAGTTAGAGCATGTGAGCTTGAGAGAATGTGAGAAGATGTGCTTGCGGTTTTATAGCTACTCATTGAAGGTATACGATTTGTACTTGATAATGTTGATCTTGTATAGGATGATGACGGCACAAGAGGTGACCGTCCATAAGACAATTGCACACGCGGTGAAGTAATTGGAGATGAAAGAGTTCTTGGCTGATATTTTTCACTGAGTGATTTTTCAACGTTTTTATGAGTAGATGTAGGCAAAGGTACACTTGGATGCTTCCTGATGAATTTAATATCATTAATATTTATTGGATTGTCAACATCTTGTCGCATCATTTCCCTGATGTAAGGATTACGGCTGTCACCTGATTGGTTCTTCAAAAAATCTTCTTTACGCTGATGCAACGTTTTACTACGTTCCGAAAGTAATTTTGTCTCATACTTATTATCATCATTACTATACACTTTTAATGCCGATGAGATCTTTCTAACAGGTGATTCCGACAAGTTTCTATTGTAGCTTGAATATTTTACTGCTGTGTCATCAGCAATTCGTGGCTTTGTCTTGAGAATGTCAGGTTCTTTTGAAAAAGATGGAGCATTCAAGTCATATTTATCCAATTCATTAAAGTTATTGTTGTTATGTGCTACAGAATAATAATGATCAAAATATTCAGTCGATGATATTCCACTTATTGTGTCGTCAATTGATTTTGTTGGTGATAACATTTTCCGTCTTGGATTGAATAAAGAATCTGGTGTATCTCTATTATCAGTTAATCTGTGTCGTCTTGGTGGTGGAACTGGAGTTAACAATTCAGTATCAGTTGAATCATCAACATACATTCCGTGTCGTGCATTAGGTAACGTGTCAGAATAATCAGCCATCGATTTTAAATCCTGAACATTTGGTGGAATAATCTGAGAGTAATTTTTCTCGCGATTTGAATCGTAATTATTGTAGAAATCTGACCCGACTAAGCTATTAGAAATGTCTTGAAGGACATTTGTGTAATTCTGATTGATTTTATCCTTTGGAAGTGAAGGTTCCTTATTGACATTGACCTGAGCTATTTCGGGTTTCCATTCATTTGGATTAAATATAACTGGCTCATCATCATATCCAATTAGTTCACTTGAAATTTCCTTTAAAACATTCAAGTATTTGGAAGATGCTTTTTGTGTTTGATTACCTTGAGTTTGTATATCTTTTGTTTTGTTTTCATCCTTGTCTGTCGAAATTGACGAAAGCTTAATTTGATTATCATATTTGCAGTCCATTTGGGAAGATTCTCCAAATTTCATGTTTGTATTCTCAGCTGAGCTTCTTCTTCGTTGTGTATTATTATTTGATGAATCTTCAGATAGTCGAACCCTTGGAATTTTAAATGAATCGGCTTCATTATTTTCATCAAATTTATTCTGAACATCTTTTGTATTTCTTCTATCTTCTCCTGAATTTTTTCTACCGAATAAATCATTTATATCGATCGGCCGTTCACTTATTCCTGATTCAATTTCTATCAAATCATCTTGAATACTCTTCCTTCTTTCCTCAATATATTTAACTGGATAAATTTCTGGTTTGACAGTTTTTAATTCAGAATTTTTCATCCGTAATGATTCCGTATCCATTCGTGTATTGCTTCCATTGCTTACATCTTGTTTAGCAGAACTTTTAACTTCGATGTTATCGTTTATTACTTTCTTTTTAATATTTAATGCTTCTTTATCGTTATCGATATTTTTCTCATATTTATTAGCCTTTTTCTTGTTCCTTTTCTTCTCAGGCTTATTCATTTTAAGCACTTCTTCGTTATTATTTAAGGCATCAAAGTTGTCTTGAAATTCTTTTAATGCCCTTTCTGTTTCCATTTCAGTCATTTGTAATTCAGAGAAAATATCATTAATATTTTCTTTTGGAAGTCCTTCAAAACATTCTTTTTCTTTCTGATGCTGTTTGGTAGGCTTTAAGTTTTTCTCTGGGAGGGTGAGTGAGTATTCTGAATAATCTTCATGTTTTCTACCTTTTTCTTCGTCCTTCAAAAGTCTCTTTATTTCTTCATAATCTTCATCTTGTCCCTTGGGTTTATTTAAAGTTTGAACCTTCTGGTGAATCGGAGGTTTGTCATCGACTCTATTTTCTACAACTGTTAGCTTTGTAATATGATTTGATGTCGGTTCCTTTTGAGTTTCTTTTACTTTATTAGATTCAATCAACTCCATCACTGCTTGTCTGGCCTTATTTTCTAGAATTTCTTCCTTTTGAATTTTACTTTCTTGATTATTCTGAGCCTTTTTGCGAGAGTTTCGTGGCGAATATTGAGCATTTTGATAAATAAGCTCAAAATCCATTTGATCAAATTGTGGCTCTATTAATGAATCAATATTAAATGTTTCATAATCTATCGACTTCCGTTTTTCTTCGAAATTGTTTGATACATTAATATTTTTATAAGAATCGTGATCTGTCGGGAGATTTTCTTGGAAAAGTTCAGCAAATTTATCTTCTTTATGTCTGTCAATATTCTCATTTGATTTTCTAACTTCTCGGAAACTTCCAGAAGAATTTTCATTTGATTCACGTTTAATTAATTTCGGTTCTTCTTGGAAAATGTCAGAAAGTTTTTCTTCCTTATTAAATATTTTCTGTATAACAAGCGAGTTATCTTCAACTTTCTTTTCGTAAGTTTTCTCTTTAATTAAAGGACCTGAATAATCTTCGATTTGATTTTTACGTTCAGCAATTTTCTGATCTTTTTTCTTAACAATTGAAACACTCTCTAATTTAGGATATTCATCAACAGGTCCACTTAATGATTCATTAAGATAAGTTTCTGCTAACGCTCGTTTCTGTCGTAATTTTTGCTCTAATCGTTCGATTATGCTGTATGGCTTTTCTTCTTCGTCCTTCTTCTCTTCTATTTGTTGGACTGGCATATTCATTTGCTCATTACTGACAGCTTTCTCCTTCAAATCATCATCCTTGGTTGATTCAGAATTATCTGCTGATTTGATAGAACTTCTTCTATACTTTCTTTCCAATCTTGAAACAACGCTTTCTTCTTCAAGTGGAATATTTCCATCTACAGCATCCAATGACATTTTCCTTGGTGTCTCATTTTGATTAAAAAGTTTTGGTTCCTCTGAGGAAGTTTGTTCATCTTCAATTAATTTTATTTCGTTTGCACTTTCTTTGAATTTTTTGCAGTCTTCGCTTTTTTGGGGAGATTTACGCTTATTTTCACATTTACGTGGATGTTGCTCTGCTATTAACTCTTGTGGATTTTTAATTTCATCAATTTTATGCTGCTCATTTTCAGGTGATTTAGAATTTCTTTCGTACTCTACTAAAAGCTTTTGATATTGTTTGTTAAGTAGCTGAATAATCTTTGGATCCAAGTCAAGTGATTCTTCATTCTTTACTGGTGATTTACTCTTTGAACTTTTACTTTCTTGTTCTTCTTGTTCTTCCTTTTCAGCAACTACTTTAGTTTTGGTAGCCTTTTTAGGGGATTTTTCTTTTGTAACCTTTTTAGTTCCTTTCTTAACAGTTCCATTTTCTACTGGTGAAACATCCTTCGATTCTGAACTTGAGCCATTCAAAACTTTGTTATTAAAAATCTTTTCATATTCTTGACTTGGTGACAATTCCAATTTTTGTTCATCTATTAAATTATCGAAAATTTCAACTTCAATATTCTTCGTCTGATCCAAATCAGCAGAACCGTCCAAAAGCTGGTCGAACATATTAAAATCATGTTTCTTTTTCTTCTCTTTTGGCATTTCTAATTTAAGTTTTTCAGACTTGTCAACATTCTCCTTCTTACTTCCTTCATTTTTTGGCACCTGCTTCTTCACAGTTTGCAATGACAAAATATTTTTCTTTGGTGCCGGTGGAGGTGGATTAGCTGGTATAGAATTAGCAACAACATACCGAGTGATTGAATTTTTTCTACTTAGTGATGGGGGATTTTCACTGAGTGGACTTGAGGGTGGTGTGCATGTTGAAGTCTTGCGACTTTCTGTAGGTGTGGTTGGGAAATAACTTCCCAAGTCAATTTCATTAATATTTTTGCGTGGTGTTAATGGGGATTGTGCTGCACTTGATGTTGCAGATTGTTCATTTGGTGAGCCTGAACCTTTCTTTCCAAATGGAGGACTAGATTGTGATGGAAAATACTTTGAAAGATTTACATCTTTCAGTGCTTTTACATCACGGTTTTTAGCAACCGCTGGTGGCTTTTTGTCTTGTTGCTTTGGAAAGTATTTAGTTAAATTAACTTCTTTCATACTTGCAACTTTTGACTCTGCAACACTTGATTTAATTGCCTGCATATTGTCAGAAAATCTCTTTTGTTCCATGTCTCTCACATGCTTCTCGAGTCTGTCTTTCTCCTCCTTAATTTCATTAAGTATATCATCTGCTTCTTCACGAACCTCTCCACTTTTTTGCTTTTGTAAAAATTTCTGAATTTTCCTTTCAACATTTCCAACTAAACAAACTTCTTGATCTGCATCCTTAAATATCTCATCAAAATCCTCTTCCTTTGGTGGAGGCGTTGGTTCTTTCTTCTTTTCATGTGGTTTTTCATGCTTAATGAATTGCTTTACGCTACTAAAGATTCCATTTAAGAATGATTTCTTTTCTTCCTTTTTCTTTTCATCTTCAACATCCATATGTGAGGGTTTTGGTTCATTTGTGACGGATGTCGGTTGTTTTAATTTTGGTGGATTATCATTAAGCCATTTTTCTTTAAGACTTAATTTCTTCATCATGTCATTTTTCAAGAGCTCATCTTTAAGATTTGATTGGGAGGAAGGATCTAAGCTATTTGGGGGAATATAGTTATTGGATTGGGAACTATTACTGACTAAATCGGATTTCTGATTATTAATGTTTTCATTGTTTTGTGTCATTGAATTCTTGACACCCTAATTATGTTGGAAAAATTATTTTTATGTGTGTATCAATAAAGAAAAGAAAGAGAATTTTCCATTTAAAAATTTCAATACTAAAGAAAATATATCAGCATGATAATTTAAGACTTGACTCACCTCAGTTTCTGTGTCTGTAAGAATGTATGTCGGTGGTGGTTGAAGTTTTACTTCATTCATTCTCATTTCACGTGCTTTAGCTAGTTCTTCTCCTTCAGTTTGTGAATCGGCATCATCATCTTCACTTGAATATCCATAAAATTCATCTTCACTGTCTTGCATGGTTGATCGCTTATCGATCCAATCAGATGCAAGTTGTAAAGTTTGTGCATCGACACCAACAGGATCTTCAAAATTGTCACTGTCGGATTCTGTATCAGTCTCATCTGAACTTGATTCATCGTCAACAGAATCTTCATCTCCTGTACCGAAATTCAAATCAGTCCATTCATTTTCATCCATGATTTGATCAGCTTCTTCTTCACAATAAGAACGTTCATCTGCATTCTCAAATTCAATTCTCTCAGGTGTCTTACCACGATTATCAAGGTCATCTCCCGTAGCTCTTTCTTCTGAATTTCGATGCTTTTGTTGCTGAGCCTTGAATGCAGCATAATCAGCTTGACGTTGTTTATGTTGAAGTCGTTTTGGAACAAATTTACTATCTTTTGGCGGCAACTTGAAATGTTGAGTGCAGTAGAACTTTCCATCTGGATTTTCACGATCAAATGCGTATCCACCTAATTTTTATTATTGGAAAGACATTAAAGGATTATTGCAAATCTTTTTTAAAAAGAATCTAATTCACATACCTAATCTTAAGTTTGTATGACAGTGATGGCATTTTAAACATGATCGATGTAAGACTAATCCTTCTGCATTGATTTTCTCCATCAAGTAAACACGCTGTTTGCAGAAGTGACAAGATTCAGATACACCCTGTGATGATAAAATCAGACCGCTATTTTTTGCTGGTTGCTGATTTTCTTCACCTTTTTTCTTTCCGAAAGTTGAAGCTGCAATCGATGCAACTTTGTTTTTACCTCTCTCACCACGATCTAAAGCTGAACCTTCCTTCAATTGTTTATCAAGAGCTTTAATAGTTTCATCAATCTCTTTATACTTTATTTCACTTGCATCTTGACAGTCTGGCTTCTGCATTTTATTTTGACGTGCCTCAAACTGTTCACGATTCCATTTTGGAACTTTCTCACGACTCTTGCCAATGTCAGTAATTTTCTTTGACATTAGCATTTTCTTCTCAATTTCTTTCACATTCCAATCATTACTTTCAATTTTTCCAATAGCTCGAAGTAAGTCTTTTGGCTTTTTGTTAGTAGCGGCAGCATTTTTCGTTGTAAATTTCTCTTCAATATTGCGTATGCGATTGCTAAATGGATCATCGAGGATGTTTCCACTTCTTGGCAGTGCTGATGGTATTCCTTTTTCACGGTCCTGTGGATTAAATGAACGTTAGTAAATAATTTTTGCAAGAGCATCATTTCACAATTAAAACGATTAAGAGATGTTAAAAATTAAGTCATCCAAAATTTTAATTAAGATTATAAATCAACACGAAACGCGTCTTTGGTAACAAAATGTAATTAGAGCGCAACGGTGTTAGTTTTAAAGCCATTTATCAATTAATTTAATATTACAAAGCTCAAATGTCAAAAAATTAATTTTTATTTACAAAAAGCTTCAACTTTTAATTTATTTTGATGTTAGAGCAACAACACATTAAAGTCAGTTGAGAGTTATGGAAAAAGCTTTTTTTTTAAACGAAAAATCCAACAACAACGAAATCAGCTTACAGGATACAGCAACTTTTTCTCTAACTCTTTAACGCGATCTGTAAATTCCGGTGCATTTTGCCGGTACATGTAGATTGAATAATCTTCAAAAGCATCGGTAGTTTCTTCAATGCCACTTTCACGCAAGAAATTTGCAATTTGTAGCATTTGAAGACTTTTTACAAAATTATCAGTTTGATTTTTTCGTTGTTGACGACGGCGATTTTGTCGATCGATACGATTTGCATCTATTTCTGCTAAACGTGCCATTCTTTCTTCCTTTAATAGAAATTTTTATAATTTGTTTTCATTTTTTTTCTTTCTTTAAACAATTCTACAATTTATTTTTGCAAAAAAAAGTTATGATTGTGTTACAAATTGGGAAATATTTTATGCATTAGTGCTATTAAATATAGAAGCAATTGAGTGAGAAATTTCAAGTATATAAATCCTAGCTTAAAAAACTAATAATCCAATGATGTAGAAAATAATCACAAAATTTATCGACATCAAGAGCCACTTGTAACAAAATGACCGAATTTCATCAAAATGGTACTGAAAGAAATTTTATAACTTAACTAATGTTCTTGCCAATTGAGTTCAAATATCCACTAAATGACACTCGAGAGTCATTATTAAAAATTATTATAGGAACCGAAAATCATTTTTTGTAGGAAACATTTTGTTAACAAACTTACAATATTTCCTCCATATTTCTCGTAGCTCCTTCGTTTACGTCCTCTGCGATGTTCAACAGTCGGTGGGGTGGGTGATACTAGATGCAGAAAGAATTTTTAATTAATTTTTCGCTCGTGTGCTATTCATGGGAATATTTATGTCTATTTACCTGGCAATTTATCACGTGATTTTTTAGCACCATTTTCATCATTCGCAGCTTCTCTTTTAGCAGCAGCAATGCGATGTAATTTTGTAAAGTCTGACATGTTGTTGGTTTTTTGTGTTTGAGTTTTCTGCTTGAATTCCGCATAATCCAATTTTGGATGTTTGACATGAGGAATTTCGCCTCTAAATACTTCACAGATTTGCTCTAAATAATGTAGCCATGTTTTGATATCAACATCTTGTAATGTAATTGATTCATCAGCCGACATTACTGGAGGTATTTTAAATTCTTTTTCAAATATACCAAAAGCAATTTCATTTGATTCCTCTGGTAAAGCATTTTCTATTGCATTCCAATCACACAAATCGGGTCTATATCTGTATTTATTTGTTTGTATAAAATAAAATGTTCAAGGTTACATTCAATTCCAAGAGAATATTTCCATTTTTTTTATTGCTTACCTATGAATAAGTGCACATAAAACCTTTCCATTCGTGAATATTTGAGATGGTTCAACGATTTCTGAAATAAATTCTTGGTCTTTTAAATGACTTCTTATCCATGCAAGAAGTACATTTGCCATTGGTGTTGTATCGGCAGTTCTTCGTTTTCGTGTTTTGACTGGAGGCTCAGGTAACGATTGAATTGTGTTTGTATCCATAAATGTTAGTTCCAATAACGATGGGTCATCGGTGTCAAGAAGATGTTTCACCTATTATATTTTTTATAAAGCAGGTTAGACATTTTAAACGAGACTTTAAAAAATAATTTTACCTGATGTGGAAGCACAAATTGTCTGTTAAGGTTTGGATATCGAGTCATTGGATCTAATGTATAACCTCCATGATCACGATGCAAATTTTCAGGTGTCGTCTGAGCTAATAATCGATAAATACTCTCACGTTGTGAGAGAACAGATAGCAAACTGTTATTTGAATTTGCAAATAATTTGATTGCATAAGCAGCATCCATAGCGGATAAAAATCCTCTTGCACAGCCACTTCCACTAGGCCAAAATGGTTCCAATAAACTATCACCTACAATACCCATAAGAAGGCGATAATTTTTGCGTACAATCATACGTGATGAATTTTCAGCAGCAAACATCGATGTAAAGTCAAACATTGCAACATCAGGCTTGCCATAATGATTGACTGCAAATTCAAATGTAGGCATTTGGTATTTTGTAGAAAAATCTGCCGCTTCTCTTGCATAATCTTGTAGCTTTTGTGTATTTACATTATTTGGATGTAGCAACTCAGCAGGATCACTAAAATCTTGAATAATTACTCCTTTGTCCAATAAACTATGCTTCTTTGCAGTCATTACAAAATAATGTGTATCGTCCTTATAATAAACAATATTTTCTAAATCAATTCCCGTTTGATGATAAAGCTCTTTAAAGAATGATTGATTAAATATGAAAGCAACTCCACTAATTTCCTCTATTCTTGCTTCTTCCTCAGTGCGTCTATTTATAAAATTTGCAGTGATTGCAATAGCTAATTTTCCACGAAATTCTTTACGTCCAAAACCGGAAAGAGTATTTCTTTTTCCATCAGCACCAAGTAGACAATCAAATTCAAAATGTGTTACAGGATGATCACTAGGCATCGCCATGCAACGCCATCCTAAACCTTCACTTGGTTCTACCAAACCCTCAAAGCTCACTCCCTCATGGATTTCAATTCCAAGAAGTAATGATATTTTTAACATTAGACATTGAAGTTGTCTAATTGAAATGTGATCTATAGAACCAGCACAAAACTTTCCGTAAAATTTCTTAGCACCAAGTGCTCGTAAATCATGAATCAAAAATGGCCATAAATGGAGCACATTGTTTCTTGTTATACGATCACGTTTCTCTAGCACTACGACTTTAGCACCAAGGAGTTGTGCTTCAATAGCTGTCCTTAACCCGCAAGGTCCTGCTCCAATTACTAAAACTCTAATTCCGGAACATGCTGTTCCTTTATTATAAACGCGGTGTGATAAACGTGCATCGATCTTTTTCCACAGCGCTTGTGCTTTCCAATTCTTTATTTTTGCTTTGAGCTTTGGATAAAATTCATTGATAGGTCCTGGACGTAACCCAATTGTATCACACATACTACGAAATAAACCCATAATTTGCCGCATTGTTACAGCGGATGAGAAATGATCAAACATTTCTGCTGCCAATGCGGCTGCATCATTTTCCTTCATTGCCTCCATTACTTGTTCGCTTGTCTGCTGACCGGCGTTGTAGTGGAAGTTCTGTCGATGCATTTTTTAAATTCTGTAAATAAAATCAAGAGGAATGTTTAGTGAAAGATATTTTAACGGACGGGATATAAATTACGAGGCGGTAAATACAAGTTATAGAGTGCTAAATTTGCATGCTTAATAATATTTTCTTCTTCATGGGAATCAATCTCTGGCAAATGTTCAGTAAATCAAAGAATCACATAAATGTCAAATGAAAATTCATTCAGATTGTCGAAATCACCTTTCTTGGATATTTATGCAATCATATTTTTTTCTCGAAAACATCAGAAGACTTTTTAATTGGCTCTTATTTCAGTTACTCGTCAAAAAAAGTAAGATGTATCTAAACAGCTATAATTAAAAATACGATACATTTTTGACTTGAAATCATTCATTAATGAAATTTCCGTATTATTTTTTATTTTACACAGCATGGTGGGATGTGAGTACACAGAAAGCTATTTTTCATAAGCAATTTCATTTTTTTGGCAAGTATTTAATTGAATGAATTATAAATGAATATGTTTAACTGTTTCTCTGTCTTTCTTTCTCTATAAGCATTTTATCATATGACTAATAAGAAGCTGTAAGCAAGTTCGTTAGCAAAACAACAAGAAACGAAACGAAATGTTTTCTTTTATTCATCAGCGACGTCATATCTCGGAGATTAATGGTTCATGCATGCTTTGAAATCGATAAGATAGCGTAGACTTTTAGTCTCCATGTCAATTTTTTTGTATCGTATTGAAATTCATACAATGTGGCTGTATGAACAGTATAAATTGAAAAATTCGTGAATATTAATTTTTTTTACGAAACAAGTGAGGTGAAACAGAGCATTGACACTGACCCTCCCAATGGGTGTCAATATTGTTGCTTTTTAATTTATATTTTGTAATCATGGCTTTACTTTTATTGGGTGTAGCTCTGAGTTTTTAGTTTCTCAACTATTTCTATGACTGATTCATAATTTTCATTGAGTATGTTTGATAACTTAAACTTCTAAACAAACACATGATCATCCCTTGAATCCCTCGCAAAAAACAACTCAATTGAAATATTTGAATCAAAGACACTTCCTTTGTCTGATTTTCAACCATTAAACCAAACAGCCGTAAAACTAATTTTGCATTAAATTACTTTCTATCATAAACTAAGCTCAATTTTCCTTCAGCTACTGTAAATAATCTTTTTTTATTGTTGCATAAACTCATGAATTAATTTCACTAAGAAAAATTTGTAATTGAGTAGTTTAATGACCGATCAAAAAGACACACAGTATGTCCTACATAATTTTGACTTTTTATTTGGCGCCCTCTATTTTTCCCCATCAAAATAATTTTTAATGACTTTTTGCCAAAAGTTTATTTTGCAGTCGAGAATATCTTGTAAGAAAATTTGTTTCTTGGCTATTATCAAATAACTTATGTGATCGTTTTCTGAGATATGACAAGCATTTGTACAAGCATTGTGAAATGACAACAATTGCTCAACTTGTGTCGACTTACATGCTGCATTTAATTTTATTTTTGGGTTACACTGTTGAAAGCTATTGAACGGAAAGAAACAACAGAGTCGATATGAAAATTATGGGAATTATTTTAGATTTTAAATGACTTTGTTTTTCGAATAGCACCGGAAAAATTCAATTTTATAGCTTAATGATCAAAACTGAACAAAGCAGCTAATTAGTTTTACAATTTTTCCATCATTGCTTATTTTTTCTCGCTGAATTTAAATAAAAATTATTGATTTATTGAAAACCACGTTCACTTTCAAGTGATCAATTGTTTCGGATATGAAATATTGATTCGCAATTGAAATCTACGTTTATTTAACACCGGAAAATTGATTGCAGTCGTTGGTTGATAACGATATATTACGAACATTCGTGCATTACGAGTGACTTGCTGATTATTTTCTATGTCATAATGTGTCACACTTTCTCATGAATGCTTGTCACTTCTACAATGGTAATTTATTGTTCTTTATTATGTAAAATTACACTGGATAAGTGCTTTCGTGCACTAATGTATTGAAACTTGATCAAGTTTATAAGCATTAGTGTTGTGTTCTAGAAATTATTATTATGCGAAGGTTGGGGGACATTAAGCAATAACGTATGCCAAAAATTTGTACTTTAAGCCTAATAAAGAATGTCATTAGCTTCACATTGTGCACTCAAAGAGCCATAAAATGACAACAAAATAGATTCAATAAGAAAATAAATTTTTTTCAGCTTCTTAAACACAAAAACAGTTCATGAAAATGATGAAAGCCATTAAGTTGAGGACCCCCGCGATAGAATCTAAATATTCTCCCGTCAACTCCACGCAATTTAGAAGCGACAGCAGAAAAAAAAAATTGTTTACGACCCAAAATAAATAAGCTGACGGTACACTATATTATTCATTTGACAGCTAAAATAGTTTGAAAAGGCAATTAACCTATTTTTAATCTTCATTTTGCGTATTCTTTATTTGTGTTATTAACCACATGTTGAATGCATATTGAGAATAAAGAAAATTTTCTTTTGACATTATGTTTTGTGCTACTTTCTGATATTTCGTAATAAATCATTAAAAATACAAAAGACAAAAAAAAATGTCAAAAAGAGTTTTCTCAAAAAAAATGTCAAGATCAAGACGAAAATCAAATCACGATCATTTCCGATTTTAATACAATTTCTTTGTCTTTACTCACTAAAAGCTGATTACATCATCAGTTCAATAAACTCATTCGAAAGTTTCTTTTTGATTTCATTTCTTTATTGTCAACATCAAGCAATTAAACTTTAGCTCTTTTTTTGGCAGAGTCAAATCAATCATATTACGAAGAATGTGTATATGTCCATTTTTGTGGACATACGGTTATGCGAATAATTAAAAAAAAAAGAAAAGTGAAAAAGAAATTTCTTCAACTAAATTTGGAGATGAAGAAAAACTTTCATTGAAATTAAGTGCGTGAATTGCGAAACGTCGCCGACACTTAATTCACGTATGTAATCAGATTAATTTCTCCTCAGCTAACGATAGCTAGCTACGTGTGTGACTCTTTTTTCCTCGAGATCAATAATCTCTTCACATACTGCGCTCAATGTCAAAGCAGCGAATAATTTTTTTGCGCATTTTTTTTTGCTGAGGCAATGCGGTTTGTTGTTCAGTTTAATAAGGTGACTTTAGGCATTATTTCCCATGAAGAATATTTAGAATTTACAATAGTGATTCATATCTTGCAATGAGTCAATTTTAATGGGAGTTTCTAGAATTCATCCAGAAAATTGCAATGCTGATTCACAGCTACCTGATATTTTGAGATTTCATACAATTATATGCAATTACTTTGACTTAGAGACAGGGTTTACATCTCCTCAAAAGTTCCATCCACAATAATGACCATGACTTATCATCCTTATCTCCATGCACTACAATTATTGTTTAACAAGTAAGATATAATAATCTTGATTCCATTCAAATGTATATTTTTATTCATGCTTAATTGTTATATTTATATTTTTGTGTACTGCTGTAAACGCAGTAATAAATGAGATTAAAATGATGAAGTCAAGGCAAAATAAAAAGCTTCCGTTAAGCATTTTTTGGTTAACTTTCAATTTCTTTTCTCTTTTATGGCCAATTTCATTTTCTTGATCGAAAATTATTCAATTTATTTCCACTTCTGAATGCTTCTTTGTTGTTGTTCATTCAAGATAAGGTCTTTGTAATGTTTAGAACAATGTTCTGTCTAGATTTTTATTGTCATGCCCGAGCGGCACAAGGTGGCAGGTGTCAGTCATATGACTGTTATATGATCGTTTTTAAATGGCAGAAAACAGTTATATGACGGTTATTTGGTAGCAATTATATGACAATTTTATAAAACTGTTATATGACTGCCATGTGACTGCCATGAGAAAAAATTAATTACAGTTACCATTTTTTTTTGAAAAATTATGGAAACAATTCATTTGAAATCGTGATTTTGAAGTGACAAGTTCATTTTGTTGTTACTCTTTCAATTTTTAATTTAACTTTGTACGCAATTGTTCACGGATCAGCCGGAATAAATGTCATTCCTGAAAAGTGAATGAGGGAGATTAAATTGTGAAAATAGTTTATCCACGAAGGAATGGTTCGAAAGATCCTTTAAAAACTGTCAAGAAACAAAAGGATCCACAGGACAATTGGGAAGAAAATGTAGTCACCGTATTGAAAAAAGGAATCGGTATGTTATGCATAGTTTTTTTTAAATTCTAAAAGGTTTAGTAAATTTTAATTTCTTTTAGAATCTTTTGAAGCAGCCATTAATCGATGCAGACCCGACAGAAGTATTCAAACACAGAATCTGAGCTAGAAACATTTAACAATAAAATATTATTATAAAAATTAAAAATAAACACTAAATTTAAACCCCTAATATTTTGTAATTTTTTAAAATTGATTTAATTTATATTTCAGCCTATAAAATTGCCATGTAATTGATATAAAATTGCCATAAAATTGCCATCTCATTGCCATATAATTGCCATATAATTGCCATTTAACTGAAATTTGATAAAAGTACTGCCATCTGTGCCTGTCATAAAACTGCCTAGAAACTGTCATATAACAGTTTCCGTTTTGTGTCAATTTTTATTGATGGCAGTCATATGGCAGTCATATGGATTACTTTATCATACTATTTGGTTGACATATCGTCAACATCGATAGCAATTATCTGTCATATGACTGCCATAAAGCAGTTTTTATTGCCATCAAACGATGGCAATTGACACGTGGCAGCTGACATATGGCAGTCATATGACAGTTATATGACACCTTTGTGCCGCTCGGGATGACACATGAAAAATATTCCACAATAAATTCCTCTTGCTTTGTTTTCCATTCAATTAAAAAAAAATTATTAATTACACCACATTTATGAACTTTTTATCTATAGCTTCTACAGACGTAATAATTTTTTTATTTTCGGCTTTTAAAATTCGCTCATTATTAACATTGCGAAATGAAAGTTTGTTTCATCTTTAAATAA